ATATATATATATATATATATATATTGTGTGTGTGTTATATATATATAACTATATATTATATATATATATATATATATATATATATATACATATATATATAAAAGATTTCAAAAATCTCTAAAATGTTTTTCAAAAACGATTAAAACTTTGAAAGAAATATTTTAGATAAAAGTTATAAAATTTAGAGAAATAGATTTAATGGCAATATTTGATTTTGAATGGTATTGCTAAAATGAAGTCAGAATTAATTAAAATTTTTTATAAATCACTATAATTTTTATCATATACTCTTGTAGCGTTAAAACGTTTTCAAAATGATATGGTAATTATAAAATGAAATATAACAATTTCCAAGATATTTTTATTCTCAATTATGCTTTTTACAAGATGATGCAAGAAGAAATCACAGAAATCCAGAAAAGTCTGTTCATTAGGCGTCATTCGTATTTAATGATATCATTAGTGTAATGTAAGAAGCTGATGTTCTCATTAGCTTAAAGGTATAATGTAATGGTAAATATAGCTTTTACGTAAAATTAAAATTTTTTATACTTGTATTTTTATACTTTTTATAAATATTAAACGAAATCAGATTACTCATACAAAATTTTAGATTTGTTTATTTTCATAATTATTATTTATGTATTAAATTTGTTCGTACCATACTGTAACCTTCCATACTAATTATATATAATTTGGCCATAGTTATGTGATAAGGTTTTCGACATTTCATTATTAGAAATAACAACATTTTCCTTGCTTCCAAAGACATTTGATACCATATTCCATTATATCTAAAATTATATTATAATTCCTAGAGAAGCTATAAATTAATTAAGTTAATAACTTACGCTGCAAACGAAATCTGAGAACTGTGATCTATGATTCTCTGTCCTATCCAACTATTGAAGAAAAGTCGAATACTTTGCATTGCCAGAAGTGGACAATTTTTTATTAGGTACATGGTATTCACATTAGTCACGATCTATACAATGAAGTATATATTATAAAATCACTTTGTATCAGTATGAAACGGAATATTTTTAATTGTAACATGCAACAACGGATCGAATTTATTAAATATCTATTCACTATTTATTAAGAATTATTATATATTATTATATACCATCACGCACGAAGAACATTGAAATAAAATTCCAAAGCCAATATCAGTAAAAAGACATATAGCAAACGTTGATTCAATCAATTGAATTAATCTATTTATGATAAAAAGAAAAAGATCCATATATTTTATGTGTAATATTTTTTTATTTAATTATTTAACTTTTTAATAAATTTATATGAACCTTTCTACTCTGATTTGTAATTGTACACATTGTATTATATCTTTTATATTCGTGTCCCATTTAGGTATAAAATTATAATCGACATTACTTGATTTATTGGACATCGGCAGATTTTCTAAACGATGACTGCAAATGTATAGTATAGTGTCTAATATATACTAATTATTTAATATTAAGCGTAATTATCTAATATTAAGAGAGTAAATTTTTATTAAGATGAGCTACAATAATAATATATACCTTAATATTGCTAATATACCACAGGCATGTTGTAGCAACGCAATGTAGATAGTATCGGTTGCTATTACTATCACACTACATACATAATATCCTACATATGTAATTGCTAGAAGAAAGTAATAATATCTTTCCAGATCCAAGAAATATTCACTCGGATTTGGCAATCGCTTTGGTCTCGTTACGTTCGATGCCAGTAAGATGTCGATTATTCGTATAGTAAATGGTGCCGTCAGGTAGCAGGTTGCACCCATACTTATGAAAACTAAAAAATAGTATTATCCCTTTATCAAAATTGGTCACGTAAGAAATTATTAGATTTATTGTGAAGTATACTTATGTAGGCCAATGTAAATATCCGACTTTTCTTGATGTATTCTATTAAGATGCAGATATCATTATGATCGGATAACAAACTCCAATCGTAGCGCACGTGTTGAACGCACATTCCAAGCTGGAGATATAGTAACTTTTTTTCGATGAAAAAAAAAACTTTTTATATTGCGACGCGCTTTATACGCTTATACGCACTTTTTTAGACTCCCTATGAACACTAATTGCTTTCACCAAACATATACTCGTACCAGCAATGGTTGATAATAGATCATAAATTTCATCTAATCTTCTTGCATGTTTGAGCATATATGTGATCTATTAATTATCGCGTATTGTATTTAATGTTATATGGTATACATAACTTTGTTGTAATTCCAAAATAATTTATACGTTAAAAAATTTGTCAAAACTTTGAGAAAATTCTAATTTTTTATTCTTTCATTTTTGCATTTTGTATAAAATTATATTTTTATTTTTTAGTCTGTATAATAATTAGCAAAATACCTGTGGCAAGAGTACTATCAGTATACTAAATATTACACAATAGTATAGTGCGATCTTGTTGGACGATGGAATTGGCCACAAACCAGTAACCATCAGTAATACCTTGTTAATTCGAAAATATGGTGTACTAAAGACATCCATTGCGTGACTTGCCAGTGTTTAAACGGAAATCTTGAGTAACTCGAAGTATTATGTTTCCATATGACTCATTTAATATTCTGTTGGAGTATAGGTGCTATTCTCGGTGGAAAAGAAATATACGTTATAAAGTCGATTTTAAATGGAATTAATAATAAGATAGATATTTCTCACAATCATATGGTATGCGAAAAGTTCTTTAATTTTAATTTTGTGTCGACAATTGTAACATAAAGCAATATGATAAAAAGACTTTAGTTCTATTCACAAAACATTTGTTTTTATAAAACATTCAGGTATATATTGTGGGATGGGATGATTTATTGCTCTGCATATTATATATTTTTTAACTGCAAAATTATATAAAAAGAAATTTTTCGTTTATGAAGTGTTCATATTATACACTGCATCAGTAAGTATGTTTGTACATTGAATCCCTAGTTTCAGTGAATTAATGTCATAAGAAGAAGCTTATAAAAATTTTTATAAATTTTTTTGAATATTAATACCTGCCATTTTCAAGGGAATTATTTTTTTAAACATACGAATAGTTATACGAATTAGGAGAATGTTGAAAAGTAATTGTAATAACGTAATAACAAATAAAAGATGTTTGTATATTATATA